CCACACTAACATTTGGAGTCTATCTGAACAACAGCTAAAAGTAAGGCTCTCTTTCCAACCAATGAAAAGTTACAGCTTCACGATTTTTTTAATAGGGACACCGAGAAGACAGCTTGTGGTGGCGACTCAGGGTTAGTCCTTGCCAATGTTCATGAATCAGACAAATCAGGATGTTTAGTGCCTGATGATGCAGGTATGATTAGCCTAGCAGTGCTTATGAGTCACCAGGCTTATACTGAACAGTCCTGGTTGTCAAACTCAGGGCCTCAGTCATGCTAGACATGTGCTTTGCCACTTGAGTTACAGCCATGGCTATTATTATTATTATTATTTATTGGTTTGAGGGTCACACCCAGTAGTTCTCAAGGCTGACTCCTGGCTCTGTAGCCAGGTATCACTCCTGGTGGGCTCAGGGGACCATACTGGATGCTGGGGATCAAATCTAGGTGGTCTGTATGACAGACAAACACCCTATCCACTATCTCTCCTGCCTCAGCTTCCTTCTTCTCAATACTCTCATTTTAAGACTATTATTTTCATGTGTTAGAACTCAATAATAAACCCATTTTGGACCTGGAAAAAGGGGGAAAAAGACTATCATTTTATGACTATATAGATTAACATGGCAAATACATAATAAACCATACATTGATAGTAATAAAAGAGTTCAATTTTCCTATTCATAGAATCAACACAGAAAGTATCCTTCTCTGATTGAGTCAGATAAACAGAAAAATTGCATTCATCTGGGGAACATTAAGTAATAAATTAGGAGACTAACACTCAAGAATGGCCAAGATTAGTACCAGGAATTTTACTCCATGGCTTGGAGGCCAGCCACAGATGCTAGGTGAAAAAGCAGCTTAGATATAGAATAGAGCACCAAATAAAGGGTGTTGGGAGGATACTCCCAGGATGCAAGAAGCTTGCTGAAAGTTGACTATAGACCAAACATGCTTGACAGTCAATGCCTCATTTTTTTACACCACAACACGCAAAAGGAGAGAGAGAACAAAAGGGATTGCCCTGTCACAGAGGCAGGGTGGGATATGGATGATGGGGTGTGGGAGGGATACTGGGATCTGTGGTTGTGGAAAATGGGAACTGGTGGAGTTATGGGTATTCGATCATTGTATAATTGTGACCCAAGAACAAAAATTTGTAAGTTTACAACTGTACCTCATGGTGTTTCACTAATAAAAAAAAGATTTACAAAAAAAAAAAGAAAGAAAGAAAGTGTCCTTCTCTGTCCATTAATTTGTTGAGTATTTATTCATTACCTACCACGTGTCATGATAAGCTGTAGGGATAAACTCTTAACAATGAAGAGAGATTCTAAGAGATCACTCCAGCAACAGAGAAGAAGGGGGTGATGAAGAGCAAAGGAATGAACAATCGGATAACGATAAGGGCTAAGGAAGAGCAAAGGGAGTGAACAAAGCCAGGTGAATGGACTGAAATGTGATTGGGAGCAGAGAACGGAGCTAAGTGAAGTTTCTTGGAGGAGCTGGCTTCTGTATACAGCCAAGAACTCAGGGAAGCAGAGAATATTGAGTGGGAGACTGGTTACACAGATTATACAATCATCCATATGAGACCATGGTGACCTGGAACAAAGAGATTTTAAGTAGGAAGTAAGACATGGACAGAAACGGACATTTCTGGAGAGTGAAAACTCAGAGTGACTTGCTGATAATCTGAGGGAGGGGCTGTGGAAGATAGGTCTGTGAATGATTCAGATGTTCTGGCAGACATATGACTTAACTGCAGTGTTATTTACTGAGGTGAGGGAAATTCATGAATTTTATTTTAAATGGGGCATTTTGAATTGACGCTTGATAGGGTAACTTTTATTTTGGGGAGGGGGAGGTCTCCCCAGCAGTACTCAGGAGGTTCTGAGGCCCCACCCATGATTCTCGCCAACCAGACCATTGGTTCATCGAAAGTGTCTGAGAATGTGATGAAAACTGGGAAAAAGAAATGAAGAGATGCTTCTCTGAGGAAGACAGGAACATGAAAAAAAATGCTCATCATCACTAATTATTAGGGAAATCCAAAGTCAAGATAATGCGATATCTTTCACCAGTGAGACTGACACATATCAAAAATGCTGGGAACAATCTCTGTTGACAGGGGTGCGGTGGAAAAGGAACCCTCATCCACTGATGGTGGGTATGCTATCTGATCCAACCTCTAAGGAAGACAGAATGAAAGGTATTCAGTAAACTCAGATTTGAACTCCATGACCCAGCAATTACACTGCTGAGTATCTATCCCCAAAACAGAAAAACATTCATTAAAAAGAATGTATTCTCATTTCTTTCACTGAATCTGTGCAAGAGGTGGAGCTTGTGACTGCAATTTATAAAAACACAGTAAAACTGGTACAAAATGCACTGTGCTCTAACCTCTATGAGGTGAGGTCATAAGTTAACTTGTCCAGACAAGTATTTCTTTGTCTTCTTTATCTTAAGGTCAGGATAGCACACAGTGTTTCACTTTTTTCCATTTTGTGATTGGGAAGAGGATCACCAGAGATAACTGTGATTCTTCGTTGTCTTAAAAAAGTTTACTTTTGCCTTTCTTTTGCTCTCAATGTAGATATTACAGAACCGAAAGAGTTGTTTATTCACTTGATGTCAGTCATGAGAAGCCAATAGAACAATACGAATTCAAGCATTATCCTTGGGGGGTCAAAGTATCAGGAACGCCTAAATTCATTTGAAAGTATTTCAGGACCAGTGATCAGTCTTTGTACCATATGCCACCGAATTCTTTGAATTTAAATTTTAACTTTCAGGAGTTGAGATCACTGAGAAATGCAATCTTCAACTTAATTAATGAAAGCTATTTTATTTCTCTCCTACTTGGGAGAAGAATAAAAGTTGAACCATTCTTGTCCCCCAACTTTGGGTTGCTTAGCATTGGCCAAAAACTTAAGTAGGAGTAATGAATATGCAAATCCTGCCCTAGGACAAAGGATTTGAACTTTAGAAATTGTCTTCCTTTGATACTCTCATTCACGGCTGGTGGTAATGTTGTCTGTTCAGACTCTATGGGAAACATTAAGGAGATTTCTCAAAAAAAAAGTAATGATAGACCTCCTATATAAGCAAGAAATTCCACTTTTTGGTACCTACCTAAAAGATACCAAATTATTTATTAGAAAAGATACATGCAACTAATGTTCATGGTATCACTTAGTACAGTAGTCAGGATATGTAAACAACTCAGTTGTCCAGCAAAGAAGAGGGCATAATAAAGATATGGGATATAAACACAATGGGATGCTATCCATCCACAAGGAATGATGAAATCCTGCAATTTGTTGCAACTTTGATGGAGCTGTGCATCTTGTGTTATATATGTTAGGGGTACAAGGGCAAATGCTGGATATTCTCAATGATCGGCAGTATCTAGAATAAGATGACAAGGGAGTGGAAGGTACCAAAGGTCAACACATTTTTGACCCCAGATTAAACAAATACAAATGCTAAGGAAGAGAGAAATGGAAAGAGGAAGCAAGTTAAAGCAAACTGGAGATAACATATGGACAAGGGTTAGGGGTCTTGGACTCATCTCTGGTATAGAGTTGGACTCATCCCTGGTATAGAGTTGAGGTATCTGTACACATCAAAACTGCTAGTGCCAATATCACTGGGACCCAAAATATAATAATAAAACTTAAAAATTTTCTATCAAAGAGACAGGTTGGGAGATAAGAGGGAATCTGGAAGCATCAGTGAAGGGTGGTGGACACTGATAATGAGGTTGAAGATGTAACATTGTAAGCTTGAAATTCTGTTGTTAACAACTCTGTAAATCACGTTTCCTAATGTTTTTAAAGTGTGCTCCTTTGAGGGTACACATTCCTGTAACATGTCTTTGGAAGTCGCCTGTGAGGCAAATAAATGTGTCTGAGATACTATGAAACAAAGGCATCCCCATTACAGAATTTAAAATGTTCTGAATTAACAAATAATGATTATTGATGCGATAGCACAGCGGTAGGGCGTTTGCCTTGCATGCAGCCAACATGGCCAACCTGAGTTCGATTCCTCCGCCCCTCTCGGAGAGTCCGGCAAGCCAACGAGAGTATCTCGCCGGCACAGCAGAGCCTGGCAAGTTCCCCGTGACGTATTCGATATGCCAAACCCAGTAACAACAAAGTCTCCAATGGAGACGTTACTGGGTCCGCTCGAGCAAATCCATGATTAACGGGAGGGCCTTTTTAAATAATTTTCAAAAATGCTATATCTGAAAAAAAATACACACACACACTGTAGTATCAAACGGTCAAATGTTTTTAAATGATATAATACATAAGATGGTTTTGATTATAATAAAGCTGGATACAACACAAATATGTGCCACTTTACAATTATTCTTGGGGGTGTCACATTCAATAATTCTTGGGGGCAACTCCCAACTCTGTTCACAGGTTGCTCCTGATGGTGAATGGTGGATGATGCAGTGACCAGGACTGAACTTAAACCCAAGGCACATGGCGCATGCACTCATTCAGCTAAGCTAGCTCTCTGATCTCCTATTTTACCTCTTAATGTCATTGGGGCAGAGGTGATGGTGGGATACAGAACAACTCAGAATCTTGCACTAAGCCTGCCATCTGTCTTTGACAAATAGGGGGCTTGTGGGAACATTTTCAGTAACACTCAAGAGAGGAAATACCATCAATCATATCTGTCCCTAGGAGAAAGTATTCAAATATAATAATTTCCAGGTAAAAATATTTGAATTAGGTAAAACAACAATGAAATTTTAAAGTAATAGGACACTTTTCTGGAGAGGCAGTAACTGAGAATTTTAAGTTCATTTCCCCAATGTTGGACACAGACATACAACAGACTTAAATAAACTTTGTTCTTAATGAAGATGAATAAAGCTGTAGAAATGTTGAGGGGCGCTCAGTTAAAGGAAAGTATCTTGTGGAGGGTTGCATACTGAGGAATAAAACTCTTCCTGATGAGAAAATTCAGTCTTTTGCACATTTCTAGAGTTTGGAGTTGAGGCTGCAGGCTGGTCCATAAACTCCCAAGTGTAGCGAATGTGCTACACAAGAGCCAAATATTCTATTAACACCCAAAGGGTTTCTGGCCCTATCAATTGATTTTGATGGTGATTTTGTTAACATTTTTTAAAAAGAAAGAAAAACTTGGGGGAGGGGAGGAGGTCAGTGTAAAGTGCAGCAGGTAGGGCATTTGCCTTGCATGTGGCCAACCTGAGTTCAATCTCTGGCACCCCATATGGTCCCCTGGTCCCCTGAGCCTACTGGAAATGATCCCTGAGCAAATCCAGGAGTAATCCCTGAGCACCATCAGTGTGGCCCAAAAACAAAAACAAAAAAAAAAAAGAAGAAGAAGAAAGAGAATTCACAGATTACCTGCACCCTCCCCCCTCCCTTGCGTTCTCCCCCCTCCCTCTCCCCCCCCCACACACAAAGAACTCAATCTGCATCTGGTTTAATTTTAAACTGGAGAAGACAGGAAAGCACTTCATAAGGGAAACGTGCATGCAATGAAAGACCTATAATGTTTATAGTAGAGTTTGTAGCTGTGGCTACAGCAGTAGTAATAGCAATAATAGCAGTAGCTGCAGCAGCATTACTAATAGCAAGAATAGGTGAGATGGTAAATACAGAGATAGCAGCTTATATTAAAGAACCATGACTGTGGAGATCAGGAAGGAACCTGTCAATTGCTCTCTCCTGTTGTATTGATTAGGAAATAGAAGTTAGGAGAGAACAAAGGGCAGAGGTCAGGTTTTGCAATAACTAAAAGGGGCAAAATCCAAGTTTTGTAATTCTGAGGTTTTAACTAGAATATTTTTATATAAATCTATTATCCTCAAAACTGCTCAAGAAAAAAAAATCAAGGTCAGGGAATAAGGTGTTTATCCTCCAAATAGTCAATCCATGTTCCATCCCTGGTCCCCATCCCTGAGCAAGACTGGTCCTTGAGCAGAGTCAGGAATAAGCCCTGACCACAGTCAAGTGTGGCCCCCCCAAACAAACAAACAAGCAAACAAATAAAAAATAAATAATGGGAAATCTGGGAATCATAGCAGTCTCTTGGGGAGGGTGGAGAGAAGGCCTCCTAAGCAATCTCTGAGGGCTGTGGGCCACCAGTGCTAATACTTGGACTGATAATACTCAGCCTAGCTATAGGCTGGACCATCAGTTGTGAGATCTTGGGACCACTGCTTGGTTCTAGAAGTTCTGGGGGCCATCAGGAACATATCCAGTGATGTCTGGAGCAATGGTACAGTAGTAGGGCATTTGCCTTGCACATGGCTGGCCCGGCTGACCTGGGTTCAAGTTCTCCACTCCTCTTGGAGAGCCCGGCAAACTACGGAGAGTTTCTCACCTGCACGGCAAAGCCTGCCAAGCTACCCATGATGTATTTGATATGCCAAACACAGTTACAACAAATCTCACAATGGACATGTTACTGGGCCCACTGGACCAAACTGATGAACAATGGGAGGATAGTGCTACAGTGCTACAATACTAGGGGAGTAGTCTGTGGGGCTGGGGATTGGACTGTAGTCCAAGTGCATGTCAGACCTGTGTTCCAGACCTCGAGCTATCTCTCAGGTCCTTGGCAGGCAGTGTTTTTCGTCCATCTAAACACATTCCCACAGAAAAGTTCTCACATAAGCTAAGAATAGTTCCTCCTGAAACCCACAATTGTGCTCTTTGTCTTAAACACATTAATTAAGGGGGGGGGGAGCTGATTAAGTAAACCTAACGAACAGTTTCTGAATATTTACATTAATATTTGTTTCTCTGGTGTGTATTTATTTGGATATTTTTAGGAGGCGATAGAACAGTGAATTGTAGAATATTTAAATGAGTATCTGGAGCGGTTGCGGTTGGAAGAGTTGTTTTTGTGTCAAACAAAACCAAAATGTCATATACCCACACTTGTATCTAGTGGAAGATGTACTTCCTAATTTTCAATTTTCAATCCTGTATTGAACCCATTCTTTATATATAAAATTTTGTAGTTGTTGCAGTAAGAACAACCAGAGAACCAGAGAATTCAGATCACACACAGGATAGAATTCTCTTAAGACTGAAGGAATAAGGCCCAGAGAGATGGCGCAAAAGGCTGAGCAAATGCTTTACTTACAGGAGGTTGGAGTTCTATCCCCATCACTGCATGGTTCCCCAATACTGCCAGTGTGAGCCCCCAAGCAACAAACTAAGAGTAGCCCCTGAGCACTGCTGAGTGTGGCCCAAACTCCCCTAACCCTCCTTCCAAAAGAAGAAAAATAGTCATTTCCTAAGCTGAATCAATGTCATCCATAGGACATGTTAGAAGGAAGCAAAGAGTCTGCAGTGCAACTGACAAAGAGCTATAGGATGAGTCCTTAAATGTTTGTAGGGTTAAAAATAAACATGGTTGGGGAGGAGGGGTGTCATCATTGGTACCGTTTACCATAGGTTCTGTGATGTCTGGAGCAATGGTACAGTAGTAGGGCATTTGCATCAACCCTAAGGTCACAAGTGAACAAATAATAAAGGTACCTTGATGAAGTCAACCATTGCAACACCACATAATGTGGGCTAGCATCCGTGTGGGACATAGATAAGGAAATCCTCATATGATGAATCTCAGTCTTCTTACAATCCTTGATCCTAAGGAGATCTGTCTTCAAACTTCTGTTTTATGCAATTCCATGGTGAAAAGGGATTAGAAATTAGTTTCAAAATTCCCAGGATACCATGTGTAACCTGTTGTGTGTAATTATACTTCAGTTAATAGTATCTAGTTCCCATTCTACAGTATAGTTCAATCAGCAGCAAGGTAATTCCCTGTTACTCCAAAGGTATTTTGAATTAATGAATTCTTCTGGAGATTACCTTAGCCAAGGAGGTAGGCTAAGCGAAACTTGCATCAACTCCAAGTTTCATGCATGCAGATGGGTAAACCCCAAAATGTTTCGCAAATTCTTCTTAAATTGGTAATGACACAAGAATGCAGTACAACAGGTTAAAAAGCAATGGCAGATATCAATGTTAAAAAAAAAGGAAGGGTAAGAAAAGATAAACCATTTTCCCTCTATGATTCTTGCCACATGACAAGATAATTTGGATACAACTATACAAATAATCAAACTCTCCAAACTCTCTCCAGATCTCCCCATCCCTAAAGCCATGGACTTTTTCTGTGCCTCTTCCACTGTTCCCCTACCCTCTCTCCCCCTTTCCAGTTTTTCTTCCACTCACGGCTCATCTCCACAGTCCATGACCTTCCAGCCTGCTTTGTTAACCTAACACCATGTCCTAGAACACAGCTGCTGACTGCTGACACACTTAGGATAAAAGCACCAGATTCCCAATCTCCCTTAAAGATAAATCTTACATTTGTGCATTTGAATAGAGCCTTATTTTGCAACTTTGCCTAAAGAGAATAGGTCAGTGGAGTCTTGTTTGAATGAGGAACACAGAAAGAACAGAAAGGAGAGGGTCTATCATTTTAAGAGTGGATTGGAAATGACTACAAAAAGCTCTGTCAGTGACCTTTGTAGCGGACAAACAATGCTATCTGGAGCCAATTTCTGGTACTGTAATTCTGCCCCAGGCTCACCAGGAGGCCGCAGGAAGAGCCTCACACTCAATGTTAACTCTACTATTTGGCCTCGGGAAAAGTTTCCCAGCCAAGCTGAAACCCCTGGAGACTAGGGGTGTATAATTTAAGCACTAATATAAGCTAAGAGGGAATGCAACAATACTAGTGCTCCCATAATGGAAAGATCATTATTTTTAGGTTTGTATAGAAAGCAGAGCTGGCAGCTGTGAGGGAAAATGTACCCTTTGAAAAGAACCTACCATTGTTATATTTAAGCTGTTGGGATACAGCTTTTGACTCAGAGGCAATTGTCATATGCTCAGAGTTACCCCATGAACAGTCACAGGCTTAATGATTTTGAAAGTAGCAATATACAAAGAAAGGTGAGGGGCCAGGGCTGAGAAGTGTTTTATGACCCATTATTTTGTTTGCCTGCTAAAGAATGTGTAACCATACTCAAAGCTGATGGAGGATGATAATGCATCCTTTTACATTTTTTCCCTCTTTTTTCTTTTCTTTTTTCATTTTGCTTATAAATATTTACCTGCCTCTTTTTTCAGGCAGGATGACTGAGAGGTTAAGCACTTGGTCAAACAGAAGACTCTTAAAATAGTAGGTCTGCTACTTTGTGTTGATGGCTAAGTTATTAACCTCTCTCAGCTTCTACTTATTTATCTAATAGATGTAAAATGTAAATAATGACAGTATCTGTCTCAGGAAGAGGACCCATGATTTTTTACTCATCAAGCTAAAAATTGATATTGGCAGCTATTCTGCATCTGCCAACATATTAGGGCCTGTGCATACAACAAAGAGCTCGATTTGCTCGAGCGGGCCCAGTAACGTCTCCATTGGAGACATTGTTGTTACTGTGTCTAGCATATCGAATACTCTCGGTAGCTTGCCGGGCTCTCCGAGAGGGGCGGAGGAATCGAACTCGGGTCGGCCATGTTGGCCGCTTGTAAGGCGAACGCCCTACCCGCTGTGCTATCGCTCCAGCCCAACAAAGAGCAAGACAGACATAAGATTCTGCTCAGTTAGAACCTTAGGGTGTAGTGGTCAGATAAGATAATGCATGAGTCCAACCCAGTACTCTATAACAGGTAAGTACCTCATAGACATCACTAGCCATAAGGCTTGGGTGTTAGGTTGACCAAGTTAAACCCTAAAAGTAAAGTAAAGTAAAGGCCCTCCTGTTGATCATCGATTTGCTCGAGCAGGCCTAGTAACGTCTCCATTGGAGACTTTTGTTGTTACTGTGTTTGGCATATCGAATACGTCACGGGGATCTTGCCAGGCTCTGCCGTGCGGGCGAGATACTCTCGTTGGCTTGCCGGACTCTCCGAGAGGGGCGGAGGAATCGAACTCGGGTCGGCCATGTTGGCTGCGTGCAAGGCAAACGCCCTACTGCTGTGCTATCGCTCTAGCCCTAGTTAAACCCTAGTTCCAGCATATACAAACTTCATGGTGGAGGGTATGGTTTACAAGTTCATTTTTTTTTTTGGTCTCCTAATTTGGTTCTCTGATAATCCCCTAATGCAGAGTGCCTGGAATTCAGAA